AGTTGAACCTGATGCATAAAGCAGAATTAGCACCAAATTTAACAAGGTTGTTCAATGCTTTGTCTAGTTCAATACTGAAAATCTCCTTGAATCATATTTTCACTGTGAAATCACACCAGTGCTTAAATACACTCAGTGGAATAATTTCTTCCTTATATCCAGTCAGAAAATAGTCTCTTCCAATTCACAACCAGACACCTTCATCCTCTGGGTACCTTTCCTGGGTACAGGCAGGCTGCTGTTAGGTTGCCCCAGAGTTGCCCCTGACCTGATGCAGCTGCTGTTATCTCCTGTAACTGTGGGGCCATCCCTTCACATGGAGGAGGCTGCCCTGGAAGAACTGCCAGCTTCCTTTGGCTCTTCACAAGTGCTTTCCATTGCACCCAGCCCAGCCAAAGACCTGTGGTGGATGCTGGATTTAATGACATTAATTTGAGTGTTTTTTCTGTTTGGTTGGTTTTTGTTGTTTGTTTGGGCTTTGTGTTTTCTGTCTGTTTATTTGTTTGTTTTGTTGGCATATACTCAATCAAAACTTGAATTGGGAAAAAAACATTATGAAGAAGACACATCAGAGAAACATAATTTAAACATATTTAACTGGTGAATGCAAACCAGAATGTACCATTAAAAAGAACAGTCCTTTTTCCTGTTTAGTGGTATGAGTCTATGATATTTCTTTTGATATTCTCATTTTTGCTAGGGAAAATAGAAAACAAATAATTTAGCACTGGCTGAGACATTTTTATTTTGCTGTTATCCTGTTTGGCCAGGTCTGTTTGCATGATTATTTCAAAGTGATTTGAGTTCTGAAATGCTGAAAATGAGCCTGTTTTATCTGTGCCTTTCACTGCTTTCTGCAAATCTGGAAATGTGTTTTTGATAGAGAGAGGATCAGCTCCAAATCGTAAAACTAAATAACCCTTCAAACTTTAGGGAATTCAAGCTGCCAACCAGACTTCAATCCTGAGTTTGGTAAATGTCAACACCCTTCCTTGGGCAGTGAAGCAGAATGAAGGAAGAAGTGTTAAATAGAATGGGGAGCTGCTTTAATTACTTGAATATTTTTAAATTTTTTTCCAGGAGATATTTAATTCAGGAGCACTTGGTTGTTTCAAATCTTGTGACCCTACTTAGCTTTCTAAGCTGGTACTTTGGTTAGATGGAGAGAAGCTGAAAGACAGCTGCTGATGAAGCAGCATGGATGTGATGTGACTGCAAAAATGACACAAAATTGTCCCATTCTCATTCATAATTTATCAGTATCTAGAATTCTACAAATATTCTTTGAGACAGTGACTTCATCTAAAAAGAATTGCCAGTTCAAATTATATTTGAGTATATATTCCAATCTGGTTTGGAATTATGGGTTTGTTTATCGACATTAATTGTGTTAAATTACCTGCAGGGAAATATAAGCCCTTTGAGAAAAAACAATTATTGTCTTGCTGGCTTTAGCAGTGTTCAGACAGACCTTGCTCTAAAGCAGCACAACGATGAGTGTGAAGACACTGTGGGTATGAAACATTTCCAGGGAGTGGTGAGAAGGGGCAGGGTTTGGTCTGGAAGGGTTTTTGCTGCCAGACATCCCAGGTGAAGAGCAGAGCCCCAGGCAGGGTGTGACACTGAAGCAGGGGCTGGGTCAGGTGCAGAGGGGATTGGGAACCCATGGGGACAGTGGATGGGTGGCACCCTGTGAGCCCCATCCCCAGGAAAGGGCAGAGAAGGGCAGGGAACCCAGTGGGAGAAATGGAGCAGCATCAGGACAGTGCAGGCACAGCAATTCGGGAAACTGAGTGCCCACAAATTCCTTGCTTGGAAAAAGGGACATTGATGGGACTGGGTGACTGCATGGATCAGCATTTGCAGACCTCCCTTTTTGCTACTGACACTGTAAAGCTTGTGCAGTTTATGTGGAATCAGTAACTTGATGTTTCTAACTTGGATGTGCTCTTACACACAAATGATTTCTTCTAAAATATCCTAATTTGTTTTGCTTTTTTGCTACAAGTAAAATCTTACAATCTGTATTTCATGCTCATCTTTACACTGTGTTAACAAAATGAACAGAAATCACCCCCAAACTACAGCATTTTAGTCCTTCTTGGTTACTAGCTGAGAAAGCTGAGGTCACAAGCTTTATCACTGGTACAAAGATTGGAAATATGAGAAGGAAATATCCTTTCTCATAAATTAGCATTGCCATAGTTGTGGTTGTAAAAACAGCTGAGATGACCTGAGTAATGAATTTTTACTCAGTCTCTAAAAGAATGTAACCTTTCAGCAAACAATAGATATTGCTAAGATAGATAGATAATAGGTATTGCTAAGCAAAGATGCTGAACTGATCCAGCAAAACACTCTGTGGGTAGAACTTCACCCCACTACCTGCTTGTCACATGGTTCATATTGACAAAGGGTAGGGCACACCTGAATAACCCCACTGGAGCCACCCTGGAGAGCCACTGTCCCAGCCTCTGCTCTTGAGCTGTAGCTGAATGTGCCAGTGTGCACCTGCCCAGCTCTGGTGCCTTCTGATCACTCTTGGCAGCCACTGTGGGCTACTGCAATGTTATGTGGCTAGATATGCTTTTAATCCAGGAGTATGATTGCTTTAATTTAACTAAGTATTTTCATTACTCCAGGCCATTTTTTGCACTGTAAAAGTCTGCAGCTTTGTGCAGGAAATGTATCTTTTCAAGGCAGTTATCAGCATTTCCTGTCATACATGTTCATATGTTACTGACAGGAATTTCATTACCTCTATGTCAATTCACACTGGTTTATTCCATTGTGTAGATGAGCATCTTATTTCATAATGCCACACCAAGGGTCAGCTCATTCTGACAACCTGATGCTGTGAGAACATCTTGAGGCTTATATATAACTACATGAAGTCTTGTGCATTTACTGGTCAGAGGAGGAAACTTCCAAGGGACACTGTAGCATAAAATGACTGGCAGAGGTGAAGGCAGGCTGCAGAATGGAGTTTATGAAAAAATCATTAAATAAGATCAATAGCTATTTGCCATGCAAAAAATCAATGGGTAATGCTCAGTGATGTAATTTCTCTCCATTTCCTACAATTTTCATATTTAATATTGCAATTAAACCACATGGCCAAAAGTCTTCACTCCTAAAAAAAATACAGTTCCATGGTTTCATCATACCATGTATGACATGCCTCCTTTTCTGTCCATAACTTTGCCCTTCTTATCTTTGAAAAGCTCCCTAAAAAAATCATTCACTCTGACTCCAGTAATTCCTGACAGGAGTACTGAACAGCAGCTGTTAGATGAGTACTGTGAATTGTACAAGAAATGGCTCTGTAAGTGCAGAGGAAATAACAGGAGAAAAATTTACCTTAAAAACAAAACATAATTTGGAAACAAATGTCCATTAACCTGTAGTTAGGAGAAATCATATTTAAAGTGTTTGTCTTACTAAAGAGTGTTGCTAAAGAGCTTGGTAGTAGCTGAGCACCTTCAAGTATCACAGTTCTTAATTGGAAATGGCTGGATTATTGCAGGGTGCACTTACAAGAACTGTGGCTTTGGAGCATTAATGTGTTTGCTTGGTTTATGTCAGAACAACAGCTTCCCAGGAGACTGTGTGCTGTCATTTGTGTGGAAGAAAAGAGAGAGAGGAGCCCAGGGCCCAGCACAGAGCTCCTCTTAGAAGTGGAGCTGGATGTTATACAGCCATTGTAAGATACTGTTTTCAGCTGTTTTTAACTTTGTGGAACTGAACTAACTTATGCTGAGATTTTTTTCAAGTGATATATCTGGAAAAAAAAATCTATCCTGTATTTTGGAGTAGTGTGGACATAAACAGTGAGGTGTAGAAGCTTTCCAGATGAAGATGCACTGGGCCAAAGCTCTTGGACTTACACCATCATCAGTTCTTCTTACTCACAATTAGCAGTAATCTGGATCTTGCCCTCACCCCTCAAGGGTGAACCCCTTTTTGAAAAATGTGCCCCTACAAGTGCTATGACTTGCAGGGGGCACATTGGGGTGTTTAATTATCTAGCAGTGATTATATAAAGCAGCTGGGGTGTCACTTCTCCTCATCATAGAGAGGAAGTGATACAAAAGGGAAGCATTTTTCCTGACAGTTAGAGATGGTTACTAGAACTATGTATGATCTTTAATGAAATCAAAAATATTTTTATGCCATGAGAGTAGCAGCACCAGATAATAGCCTAATTCAGGCTTATGTTTTGTTCAAATCATGCAGTTTTGATCAGTACTTATCCCACTTTGCTTGTCATACTGGGGGACCCCAAGACTAATCTTGCACATTTGCTCTTTAGATTTTTTGAAAATAACGTTTCTTCTCTCATCTTTTTATCTTGATCTTGCTTCCTTTTCCAGCTCGAATTCTATCACACCAAGGCAGAGCTGAGAAGATGAGATTAGGCCCATTCATTGAAGTCTGCTTCCTTGTACTGAACTTGAGACAGGGAAATATCTGTAATTTGATTCATTTTCATAAAGTCTACTTTACTTGTTGGCTGATACCTGCCAGCAGTACCTACTTCATAACTTCCCTCAAAGCTTAACTTCCAAATATCCTGCGATAGGTATTTACCCTTGTCATCCAGCCCCTCATGGTATTTGGAGGTCAAAAGAACCCATTCTCCACGTAAGAAATGATCCAGTGTAGTCACAGCTTTGGTGCCAGCAGTCGCCTCTCTGTCAGGACAGAGCCTCTGTCAGGCTCTCCTTGGCTCAGGACAGCTTTGCAATGGTGTTCAACACAAACTTGACCAAGGCTTACCAAGGAAAAAAGAAGCAAATACTGTTCAGAATCTTTATTCAAGGAAGAGAATATCTCTGTTGTAAATACACCATCATAGAACTTGAACTAAGAGGCTTGTTAAAAAAAGGAGCAAATATGAGCATTAAACTTGCCCTTATTTTGGTTTTCTGTTCCTTCCTCCACAAAAAATGCCTGATGCAAACCAAACACAACCTTAACCATGACTTCTGTATTTTCAGGGATTAAGCATCTGAAGAGTCAGAGCGAGTCAGTGTTCCCAGAAGAAGAAGAGGGGCTTGGCGAGCGGGAAGAGGAGTGGGGCCATTAGCCAGACGGAGCGGCCTGGAGCCCGCCCGGAGCCCTGCCCGGCCCCGCCGCGCCCGGCCCGGCCCAGCCCGGCCCGGCAGGCCCCGGGGGCTCCGCAGGCACTGCACACGTGTCCTGCCGCCCTTCCTCCCGGAGACAAAACTGTTCTTTTAAACTCGGTTTTTTCTTTTATTTTCTATGACTTAGAAATGTAATTCGCAAATGTGTTAGCTCCCTGAGGTCAGTACTGCCAGAGCTTAACTACTGCGTGTGAGCTGTATCTAAGGCTTGTTGTAAATAAAAGTGATTTAAAAGGTACAAAATAAATAATACATTAATTTAGACAAGATTGTCTGTTGTACAGAGGGTTTGTCTTGCTACAGAGAAATGTTCCTATAAAATGATCCTTTCAGTTAAGGACAGTTTTTACCCTTGTTAGTAGAATTACTTTTGGTGATGTGGATAGAAAAAGGGTAACAAAGCAAGCAGAAGTGGCTCTGTCCAGAGAACGATGCAAAGACACCTTTGTGCTCCCTGGATATGGGACACTGAAATACTTGCCTTGCTTGGTTCTGAGGCTGCCTTGTCTCAGCAGCCAAAGCAATTTCTCTCACACAAGATCACTGTTATCAGGAGGCATTAAAACACCTTTCAGTGTGGGACTGAGGAGCACAGGTGTGTGCAAGGCCTGGGAGCAGGGTCCCAGCCCCAGCTGAGCTGTGGCAAGTGCCACATCCCCCTCTGTCACCTGCAGGCAGGACAGGTCACAGCCTTCCTGCCCTGTGCATGGCTCAGTCTGAGCCAGTGAGCGACAGCACTGCAAGCTGCACAAATTCACCTTGGCAATGAGTCCCAGGGCTTTGGCTGGGGTCAGCATGCTTCATATCATCCTTTCTATTTTTCAGATCCCAAAAACTCTATGGCATAAAATGAAATAAGGTGGAGAAGGAAAAAAAATTTCTTGAAAGCCACACTTAAGAGATTATTTCAATTTTTCAATCAATGGCAGATTTTTAAATGAATTCACTGTCATTTTGCATCAACTGTTTGACTTTGATAAAAAAGTTTTATCCTCACTTTAACATTCCACTGATGCAAGTCTCTTTTAAAGGGTTGAGCTAGCAAAAAAACCCAAACAAACAAAAATAACAAACAAACAAACAAAATAATAAAATCTATTGCATATAGGAAAACACAGTGCCTTTTATCTATGCCTTCCATGGTGATTTCACTGATTTCACAATCTCAGGTCTTCCACAAAGACCTGCTGAGAACAGGATCTGTCAACTAGTGTTTCATTATATTTAAGAGCCATTTTTTCCCTCCATGTATCTCTGTATCCTGTCCTCTTTTGTTCCATTTTCTGTAGAAACACTGCAGACAGGATCCACGACTCCAGCTCAGCAAGGGTGCACAAGAAGGACTAGAGAAGGACTTTGCAATTATACAGGAGCCACCACAGGACTTACAGGACTGAGAGCTTTTTATGTCCCAAACAACAAAAAGAAGGAAATGACCCTTCAGAAACTGAATGGCCCCAAGTCAGGTGTGGAATGGCAGCAAGAAGAGCTGGGCTCTGGTCCCAGCTTTGCCATGGCTTTGCTTTCACACAGCACTAGGCTCTCCACAAAATTTCTTGTTGCCACAGTCTGTGTATCAGTCACTGGTGTTTCACCTCACACCATCTCTCTGTGCTGCTAGCTAATAAAGCACTTTGGATGTTAATGGCTTTCTGCTGGTTATTAGTACCCACAGGCTGCAGATGAGAACTGTCCAGGACCTGTGAGCAAAGGAAAGCATGGACATGATTTACAGCACTGGAGATCAGGACAAGGTATTGAACACTGTGGAATCTCAGCATTTCAAAGGCAACACACAAAGCACCTGATAGGAGCTTGGAGAATTCACCACTGAACATGCTGTTTCAGGCTGACAGTTGGACTTGAGTATAATTACACTTTATAAATAATAAGGGAAAAAAAAAACCCCACCAGATTTAGCTTGAACTGTATTTGACTTTCAGAATGGTATATGTTGTATATTCTCCAGGTGCAAAATCAGATCATACTTAAGTAGATATTAAGAGTCAAGATTTAAAACTTATTTCTAAAGCATTCTAAAGTATGCATTCTAAAGCATGCTTTCCCCTGAAGTCAGAGGAATTTTGCTTGAGAAAGACCATAGATTTTGGCTGAAACATACTTTCCTTGGGGGAAATATGATATGGAGTGTACAGGAAAGCTTCTATTATCCTGCTATCAATTTAATTACTGGATTTCTTGCTTTTTCTTTTTTAAGACTGCTATAAATTCTGCTAAAGTCTTCAAGGATTTACCCACTTCTTCTCATAGCACCATTATTTCTCTCCAGCAATGTAAACTGAAAAATCACCATTAGTTCTTGCACTGTTGGTGTTATTTTACCAAAAGAGTCACATCCAACACTGACTCCAAGGCAGGGCTGCAGGAGAGGTTCTATTGCCTGTGCTTGGACAAGGGCTTCCCATGGTGTCCAGGGTCCAGGCAGTCAGTGAGGAAGGGACTTCCCCTTCATCTGCACCTCCTGGAACACCAAGGGCCAGGCTGGTGGTTGCTTTCACTCTTTAAAAAAACAGCATTTCTTTTACTCCAGAAGGTGAAGCATTGGGTGGCTCTCTCCAGAGCTGGCCTGGGTAGGCTGTGATGGTTGGGGAGGAACCCAAGCAGGGCTCCTGCAGGCTGCAGCTCTGCTTTTGTACAGCTGGCACTGTACCACAAAATGTCCTGCTTGGTGCAGGGCTCCCCTCCTCATTTCTTTTCTCTTGAGACAAGTTTTTTTCATGAGGGACCTTTTTCCTGCAGAAAATAAGGCATTGTCTATCCACTAACCCTGGGGGGACAATGTAAGGGCACATTTAAAACATGCTGTCCCTCAAGCTCCCCTTTCTTCCTCTCCTATTGCATCCATGTTAGTACCCAGGCCCACAGATGTTCTTTTTTCATTCTTTTTATTATTTTTTTTCTATAGCAGCTCAGTGCAAGAGTGAGCTCCAGAAAGAGCCTCAGTTGTTCTGTTGATTCCTGACATGTGCAATTACATTTAACCTTTTCATGCACAGCATTATTCTTGGCAGCTGAGTGGATGCTAAATGCCGTCTGCTTTGCTGCATTCCCTCCTTTATCCTCCACTGAGGATAGCAGCACTTGGAGCAAATCTCAAGCAAGATATTTGTGCACCCTCTGCTAAACCTCAGGCTGTTTCATCAAAGTGGGCTGATGGGGTTTAAACAAGTTCAGTGTCTATATTCTGCTGTAGAGTTTTTGTGGTTTTTATTAAATAATCTGGGGGGATTAGGGCAGAAAAATTATTTCGTATTCTGCTAGGCCATACACTCTCTTTCAATTTTGTAATTATTCATTTGCCTAGCATATACTGACCCTTAGTGGTAAACTGAGATTTTAATTGCATTTCCAAGTTCCTAAATTTTGCTTTTCTCTTTGGCCCAACTGTTCAGAAAACAGCAGGAATATTTGCTGTGCATCAGGATAGTCTATCTATGTAAATAGCCCACAATGTCTTCAATAGACATTAAAAGGCATGTGAAAATAATGATGGCAGGTGTTATTAGCTCTTCTGAAGGGAGGGCTGTGGGAAGCAGGAGTGTCGAAAGGTTATTCCAAAATGCAAAACAAGAACCCTGGCATTGAGAGGCAATACTCTCCACATAATGAGAAACAAATAAGAACTCAGTATCTGGCACTAACGAACACCTCAAGCTAACTGTGGAATGAGTATTAATTAGGTTTCCAAAATAGCATCTTTCTGAAAAGCAGCTGAGGTGTAATATTGCTCCTTATTAATCAAAGCAATGGGACAATGTGAACTCTGCAAAAAATAAATGGTTTGCAGATGGCTGTGTGCATCTTTAATAATGACAGAAGAACACAAGTTACAGCTTTAAATGCCAGGGACCCTTTCTGCATCTTCTCCTTTTCAGAGAGCGATATTTGCAGTTTTCAAGGCAGTGAGGAAAGTGTGTTGGTTTCTTATTACATTTTCCCTGCAGCATAAATTCTGTTGATGTGCTTCCCTAATCATTCTAATTATACTGCCATATGTTGCTCTCATCTTTCTTTTTCTCTCCTAATGGGACATAGATTCTCTCTTTTGAATATGTCATTTGTTTATTACATTTATCAAGGGTTTTAACATTATATGGGACTTTTAATTGCTTTTTTAAACACTCAGCAGATTGAATATTAAAAACAGACATGAAGGTCAACTATAAATAATATTTAAATTGCTCATGACATTTTTATTCTCTAATTTACTGGAAATATCAACTCTGTAGTCATGGTCCTGTATCTGCTATTTACTTGAAACCACACACATGTCCTCCAGAGCTACTTTGGCTGCAGACACAGTTCTGCCCTACCCCAAACCACCTTGTGCCTAGCAGATTAGGAGTCTTCCCAGGTGGGAACACTAAAATAAAGATGCATCATGTATTAAAATGTTTGACCCAAATATGCTGCCATTATTTCCAGTTGTGAAGTCCTGCTGAACCCCAAACAATAAAGGTGAATGTTCATTTCTGACAAGAAAAATTCAGTTCTCTCTCAAAGTCGAGCAGTCTCAAAGATAAAGAAGCATAATTTCAATAAAAGAATTCAAGATGGCCTAAACTTAAACACGTGCTTTGTAAGAGACATTAGACCCTCAGAGTACCCTGCACCACAGAAAACAAAATCTGTAAGCCAGCTGAATACAGAGAAAGCAAGAGACAACCAATTACTATCCAATTAGCAAATTAATTTCTGGTATAATGACACCATCTCTCTTGGATTTCATGGAAATGCATCATAGGTGAATTTGACCCTTTGGCTCATTGAATTTTCATTGAGATAATCATATCTGGCTTTATACAAATAATTAGCCAATACTTTCATGTAACTTTATGTTTATTCATGGTATTGTGATCCAAGTCCCACAGTCTTTCTTGCAGGTTCAGGAGTGTTGCTTGTAGGTGCACCAGCATTAGATCCTATGTGGT